ACTGAGAGATTGGAGAGCGAGTGGCCCTCCTGTGAGAAATGTGCCCCCACCGGTAATTGGGTGTTTCTGTCTTTGATGGATGTCCGGTGTGCATTCATTCTGGTGCGCAGTTGTTGTCTGGTCTCTCCTACATATCTTCCATCAGGGCATTTGGTGCATTGGATGAGGTATACTACATTCCTGGAGGTGCAGCTGTAAGATCCTGGGATGCTGATGGCTCTGTTGTGGGGTGTAGTAATAGTGGGGGTGGTGGAGATGTGGGGGCAGGTTTTGCATTTCTTGTCCTGGCACGGTCTGGATCCTTTTGGTGTGTTCTGGGGTTGAGGAAGTTTGCTTCTGGTGATGAGGTTAGATGCATATCTCCAAGGGTGAATTTCTCTGGGGAGAGGGTTTAGGTTGTAGCCGTGTTGGTCTAAGGATATAGGCAGACAAGGTTCCTTGGGTGAATTTGATATCTTTTATTAGACCAACCCAAATGGTTGGAGAATAGTTATTAAGCAAGCTTTCGGGTTCAAAAAGTACAGATGCGGTGGTATCTGAGGGCTTGGCTGTATATCACTGCTTTTTTGGTGTGTTTCGGGTGATTGCTGGTTCTGTGCAGATATGTATGTTGGTCTGTGGGTTTCTTGTATATTGTGGTCTGTATTTTACAGACCAACATACATATCTGCACAGAACCAGCAATCACCCGAAACACACCAAAAAAGCAGTGATATACAGCCAAGCCCTCAGATACCACCGCATCTGTACTTTTTGAACCCGAAAGCTTGCTTAATAACTATTCTCCAACCATTTGGGTTGATCTAATAAAAGATATCAAATTCACCCAAGGAACCTTGTCTGCCTATATCCTTAGACCAACACGGCTACAACCTAAACCTCAGAAATTCTAGTCATTTGTTTTGGTTCCTAAATAGGAAATGAGGTCTTTTGAAACTCTGACCTGTCAAGACCAGTACCTATCCAAGTAAATGTTTTGAACTTGCTATGTTTGCACCTCCTAAAGCCTTTTTGCTCCCCAACTATTCTGTAAAACAACAGCAAAAGGCTTACCCTGGAAAGTGATAATAATCACTAGAAATAATGGACGAAGTCAAGCTCCCATTGATGTCAGTGGAAGTTTTGCCATTGATTTCAGTGGAGTCAGCACTTTGGTTAAGCTTTGCTGGAACTGCTGCAGTCTCAATGCCCAAGCCAAAACCCATTAAAGTCAACAGAAAGACTCCCACAGATTTCAGTGAATGTCAAATAAGGTCCTAAGTGGGGAACATTAATAACGTGTTTATTTCTTCATTGTTGCTTCCCTCATTTCATGAGTATTTTCAGTGGATTGAGAGACGTCCAGATAAGAAGCAGGTAACTAAAACGCCTTTGGGGAGCTGGGTCACAGCTGTTTTTGAACTAGGGAGTTCTCTGATTTTTACCCTAAAAATAACCCTGGGATGCATGCTGAAGTTCACATGTAAAGCTTTTGCTGAAAATAAAATCCCTAAAGAAAGGAAAGAGACCAATAGCTGCTCTTGGAAAATGCCCTTAGCTTTGCACTTTAATGACATTTGAGGCAATCATTAGCTTTCCTAGATCCTGAGCTAGCTGAGCTGCAGATGGACTGACTTTCCCATCAGTGAGTTACATGACAAGCACAGACGTGAAAAACAGCTTTAACAGCATTTTCACTGGATCTTGCAGAGAAATGAGGATTCTTTTCCAAATCAATCAGGATCGTAGAAGAATTCACCTGAGCTTGGCACAGTCTTATCTAATTTTTATGTCCTCTTCTAATGAGATCATTCTTTGTGAACCTTCAAATGAGGTCATTGTACTAAATTCTGGTTCATGATAGACCAGGCACCCGTCTCTATCTGTTCCCATGCCCAAATCACAGAAATGAGAAACATTTGTCTCTTTTCTGGTCCAGTGTATCAAGAAGTCCAAGCATCAAGTGAAACAGAGGCTGAGCTTCCCCCAAATTCAAGGTATACAGCAGGAGGTATTTTGAATGAAACTGGTTCAAAATCAGCAACTAAACAAGAAATCGCCCTTTTTATTTTCCTCCACTTCATATGTCTGGAAACTTTTTGGCCAGTTCTAATTATGAAGCACCTTGGTAAGGCACACTGGGTATGTGGCAAGAGAAATTCACTTACCAGTATAGTATGGGTAATAATTTTCCCCTCGGGATATTTGCTAAGTTTATGGGGGTGGAAGGAAGGGAGTGATTTTGAGCCAAGTGAGATTTAAGGCTTTTGCTGCCTCTTTTCATTTTTTTTCCTTTCTTTTTGCATCAATCACTCTTCCCTCAACCCCATTTATTATTTTCTTTCTTGGTCTGAATGTGAGATCTAGATATTCTTCGTAAGCTGATCCCTATCTAGCAGGCAAACCCTGTCCTCGGGGTATTTTTCTTTGCCTAACCCATGCAGAATGCAACCCTCCCCTACTCCTTCATTTCCCAGTGAGATAATGAATGAGGGAATGATGACTGCTTTTAGGAAAGGGGGAGAAGTACTGGACATGAATTGCAATGTGGGGGAAATAACAATAGGGATCAAGCCCAATAGTAAAGGTTACACCCTTCATGCAACACCTCTGGAGAACAGGTATAGATGCCACACTGCAGAAGCTGCGGCATCCCTGACTCTTACCCTCTAAGTGGGGCATGGGGAGGGAGGGAGGACGACACACACCCTCTGAACTGCTTCACCCTGCTCGTGTCCTCCAGGACTGGTTCTGGCTTGAACCTTTGGCTCTCTTGGAGAGTGTGAGTACAATTTAGTGTCGGGGAACATTCCTCATTATCAGAAACTGCTTGCCCTCAGCATTCGCCACCGTTCCCAAAGCTGCCCCTGGGGCTGTATTATTTTTGCTTCCTTCTGAAATGTTCCCCTGTTGTTTCATAGGTGTGTGGACAGGAAATGTTGACACCTATTCTCCATTGCAGCAAATACAGCTGTCAGAGTTTCCTGCTCTCCTCACTACTCGCATGTTTTATTTATTTTATTTGAGAACTTATCAGCTTAAATTTCAAATTCAGGCACAACAATCCATACCATTTCATTAATATTTGTAATTACTTTAAAGCATAAATACAGAAAGTAATTATTTACATTCCAGTGGTCTTTTAAAATCTATTTATAAACATAACTTCGCATTTACAGCAATTGAAGTCTAATTTTTCAGTCCAATGGACATTTCACCTGTATCATTTGGGGACATTGACCAAAAAGCTATCCTAAAAAGGGTAATTAAGCTCTAAGGCCAAGTTATTCAGTCCCACAAGCATTATAATATAAATAGCACCACTCTCTGCCTTTCGTGCTGATATATATTTCCTCTATTGTTTAAAATGCCTTTGAAACATAATAAATTAAAAGCAATAACAGGCTAATTTATTCAAAATATTATTTAAGTTAACCCTTGTGATTATAAAATAAGATTCCTTTTTTGGTAGTATTAGAGTGATGCTGAACATTTTCTTTCTTCTAGAATGAACAGGATTTTTCACTTTCTGGTTAGTTCTGACTTGTTATGAGTCTATTAGCTACATTCAGAGTTCGTTACACTATTATCATCATTACATGCCCCATTCATGCCCAGTTTGACCCATGGAGTCCATGTAACTGTCTCCACATTGCCATTTTTCTAATGCCAGGAATAGTCTGTTCTGTTTCCTATTCACCCACATCTGTGTCTTCTTCCACTCAATTATTTTCTTTTGCTTTCAGCCTGTCCTTGGGGCAGTCAGTATAGTCTGAAACAGAGTTCTCTCAGCTGGCTCCTAAAGCAATATTAAAAAACCACAATCTAATGGAGATTTCATAACGTGAAAAGCTTGGAGAAGAGAGAGCTAACTTATTCAGGAGGTGTGGCATTTATTTTATACACACATAACCCCCCCCCCCCACACACACACACACACACAACACACACAGTAGATGCCGTATCTCCTGCATAAATTAGTTCTCTTCTCCAAGCTTTCCACATTATGAAACGTCCATTAGATTTTATATATAGATCTAGATAGACCTAGATCTATATCGATATCTATAGATCCATATATTTTAATATGTATATAGATCTATAGCTATATAAATAGCTATAGATCTATGTATTTTAATATGTATATAGCTATAGATCTATATAAATAGCTATAAATCTATATATTTTAATATGTATATAGATATAGATCTATATACATATTATAGATAGATCTATATAAATAGCTATAGATCTATATATTTTAATATGTATATAGATATAGATCTATACAAATATCTATAGATATATAGATATATCTATAGAGCTATATAAACACATAAGTATCTATATATCTATAGAGCTATCTACCTAGACCTACAGATCTAGGTAGATAGGTAGGCAGACTATCTACCTAGATTTACAGATCTACCTACAGATCTACCTAGACCTATAGATCTACCTATATCGATCTACTTATCTGCCTATATCTAGATATCTAGAGATAGATATAGTTCTATCTGTCTATCTATATTATGGCTCTATATCTATCTATCTATCTATCTCTAGATACAGATAGATCTATCTATATTTATCTAGATATCGATCTAGACATAGCTATTTATATCTAGATATAGATCTAAATATATCTATGTATATCTAGAAGTAGATAGATAGATAGATAGATATCTCAGTTCTTGGCATTAAGGGCATCCTGAGAGCCATCCGACAGGGCAGAGAGGTGCCTCTCACCGTCCCTGCGTGGG